TTTTGTGGAGCTTTGGACTCAACTCTTGTCCAGAGTTGTTGAGTTATACTTTGTGAAGGCTGTTGTATCCTGGAGGGGACAAGTCAAAAAGGACTACTGCTCGACCGATAAAAAAACATTTGCTGCAGTGAACTTGAATCTCCTTAAAGAGAGCGAGATATCCGCGCCTCAGCCTGAAGAGATTTATTTCTTCATTTTTATTTTCAATTGTAATCTTGTATTTTTTGTTATCTTGTAAGTTTTTTCACTAACATAAACTAATTCAGAGTGTATGACTCTAAAATCTACATTCCTGCACATAATGACCCTACAACCTTGCATTCCTTACAATAATTAGACAAATAATTATACTGTTTCACTTTCACTGTCCTTATTTCTCCAATATTTTCATCTTTTATATTCATTCTAACATGATCGGGTAAGTTTTCCATCAAGTCCACCGAAACCTTCACTTTTGCACAACTAAGTCGAATCTTATTGATTATTGTCATGTCAAGATGTAAAGGAGTGTCAACTGATCGATTATGCCGATGAGAAAATAGATTCCTTCACATAGCATGTGAGTAAAAGATTTGGAAATGGAGTCCAAGCCACGACTCTTTTGAATCTTGAATGATAAATCGATGGTCTTTATGAATTTGCATGAGAGAGAGAAAATATAATTAGTTCTTCAAATCAAGCTTTCAATTTTATGGGTGTACTTATACATATAGAATTGGCATATTTTATTTAATAAACTAATAGCATGTTAATTTGGCCAAGTTTCTGAATTCTGAAATCACCATATTTTGAAAGGTATTTTTGGTAAGAAAAAATCTGCATTTAGCTAGTAAATTTTAAAGTAGTTTTAAGTAGCAATTGGTATTTGACCAATTTTGCTATAAGTGTTTTAAGTGTAAAAAATTTATTTAATTATTTTTAATTATTAAAAGATGATTATTTTTTTTGTAGAATAGACTTAAATGAAAAAACTGGTTACATAAATTGATACTCCATTTGTTTTAATTTATTTGATTTTTTTTTTAGTTAGTCTAAAAAATGACATTTTCTTATATAAATAATATTTAGTGACACTATCAATATTTATCTATATGGATCCCACTTATTTGCCAAACGCTAATTTGGTACTCCCTCTGATACAATACAAGTGACTTGTTAGGATGTGACATCCTTAGAAAATATATAAGACTCGTCTATTTTTCAATATAAAATAATGTCAATAATTCATTTATATTGAGTTAGAGGGAGTAACCCCTAATATGTACTTTGCTTTATTTGTTCCACGTAGGAGAATAGTCATAAAACATGATTTTTATGTGCTATAGATAAAGTTTTAACAATAAAATACTTAACGCAAGAAAATACACAAAACATGATTTGCGTTAATTGATAGGATAAAGACAGGAAATGGGCCTTACTAAATCAATCAACCAAAGTAGATGATGACTCTTTCTTTTGATCACATAAAATTAATAATATATTTTTATTTCTTCATATTTTATTTGTAATTGGAGTTTATTTTTCCTACATTAATTTTTTTTTTTGCTAACAATCTTATTGTGTATGCTGAAACATATAAGGGTTGTTTGGTAGAGTGTATTAAAAAAAATAATGCATGCATTAGCCTTGTGGTACTAGTACCTTGTTTGATATTCTTCTCCAACCTATGTATAACTAATGCTTGCATTCAAGTTTAAGAACGATCAAAATCAAGACCATCAGATTCAAGAATAAGCTCGAAGCCCTTGAATTCAAGTAAACGTCAAGATCAAAATAAAGTTCAAGTTCATCGAAGATTCAACAACAAGCTTTAAAGCCCTTGAATCCATTTTTATCCTATTTAGAAAATTTAGTTTTAACCCACTCTGCCCTACACTCGTATATATGCCTAAACCTGCCCCGTTCCTCATATGTGATATTATTATTTCATTATTAGGTATAAGATAGTAAACGATAAGGAAAGACAATTTATTAAGAAAGCCATGCTAAAATATATATAGATATACCTTAGCAGGTGTTTATTTTACAACATAACATAGTAGCTGGCCAGCAGGCAGGCTAAAACATAGTATAGTCTAGCTGCAGGCATTATTTGTTACTAGACTTCCTGGAATAAGACATCAAGAGGATTTTCGTTGACAAGAGCCAAACGCCTTTTTCCATTTTGAATAACTACACCCACTTTTGCACAAAACTGATCCTCAGGGCAACGTAGACAAATAATAGAAGTAAATGGGCAAGACAATAAGTTGTAACCAATTTTTGATGATTTAACAATCTTGAAATAGCTGTTATCTGCTTGCCCTATGGTTCCTCCGGTCTCCAACAACATCGTCCTAAAATATGCATTTAGATTTCCGACTTTCCAAATTGTATAACTAACACACAATTTCACTGTTGGAATATTGAATTGTATGTTGAGTAGTTGATCTTCAAAGATATTTGTAGATAAAGGAATGAATCTAACGGGTGTACCGCTAGGTCCAACATCGGAATTGTAACGGAATACGCCATCTGGACAAGGGGCATCTGAATTTGGGGACTTTCCTAGGTATACATCACCACCTAAGGCACCCCTACCAATGGAAATAATGCGATAACTCGAATTAGGATTGAGTTCTTTACCATTTGTGTCAAGTACCGGCTTAGGTAGAGGAGATTCACTGGGTAGGTCAATGAGATTTTGGGAAGTGAAAGTTGATGAAAACACCACAATGGGAACCAAACACAAACATAACAAAAATAAACACTTCATCTTGTTTAAGCTACTGATTTTATTGCTTGTGTTTTCTCTATACTAATGAAGCCTTCTATTTATAGAGTGATCACACACTCATATTCCTTGCCATGTTTTAAACATGTAGTGGTCCCAGTAGCTACTCAACCAATTATAATGGAGTAAATCTTTACCAAAAATTATTTATTTTCTTTCTCGCAATTCAAGAATACAAATAATTAAGTTTTTTATCATAAAAATTTTCATATGTTTTGAATTATTAATTAGTGTGACGTAAATGTACTTTTTATATGGTGTCAAATATGTATAATTAAAATTCATGTCCAAATTTACTGTCAAAGTTAAATTATTTTGACTCTCAAAATTCGAACGATTCCTCATATTGACCCAGATGAAATATGTTTTCTTTTATCAATAAAATCCGTCAAGTCACAGAGTTTACCTACCAAGTCATTATACCTAGAAAAAAAAGATAAAAAATAAAGCAACATAAATCTCCCTTTTAAATTTGATTTCTTTCAACTTACCTCCTTTTCTTTCAAAAAAATTATCTTAAAGATAAATAATTTTACCTCTCAAACTTTTACCAAACAATTTATAAGGCTCGTTTTGAATCATATATTTTTTGACTTTTTCTTTATAAAAAGAAATATCTTGTCCAATAACTAGTGCAATCTAAATCTACTTAAAGAAAGAACCTAATGAGAGTTCTGTATTTCTTTCTTTCTTTCTTTATTGGTAGCATATTTGTGGATGGCAAATATCCGAAAATTAATTAAAATATTTTTTTTTAAAAAAATAATCATTCTCTCCAAAACCAAATAAAAAATCTATGAAAATAACTTTTTCCCATTT